ATTTGCAATAAATGTGCTGGAATTCATAGAGACATTGAGATCAGTGGGACAACCTCATCATTTCATTATAACTAAATCACATCAAGATGCCACAACCTTCATGATATAAATCTATACAGAGGTTTTTGTTTGTTATCGCAGCACATGAAAACAGCTGCAGTTTGTTTGATCTGTTTGGAGTGGTCTGACTTAAAATTCACTTTGGATGGGCCCTGGAGGACACCCAAATTGTTTTGTCATTCATATAAGATATTGTGGCATATCCTTTGAAAAATTCACCAAATCTGAAGGGGATGTTTAGGATGGTCAGACTGGATTTTCACCAGACTTGAAGATTATGTTTGGAATGATTTGACAATATCTAAGCTATGTGACATATATAAAATTCACTTTGGAGGGACCTGGGGAAACAAGCCAATTATTTTTTATTCAGTTTTCATCAAATTTGAATAGTATGTATGGAATGGCCTGATTACATGGAGTACCTAAAATTTCACTGGAAAATCTCTGAAGGACACCTCAATTATTATTTTTTCCATTAATACAGAGCAGCATGGCATATCATTTAAATTATTTCAATGAGCTAAGTCAAAAAATTAGTTCTTTGAAGCTTTACCTTAACCACATAAACAAAACTAGGTTTCTGTTTGTCTTCAGAGCCATAGCCACACTTGTCTGGATCTATACAAAGGGATCTTGTAGCACCTTTAAGACTAACTGAGAGAAAGAAAAGAGTTAGAATTTCATAAACTTAATAGTAGCATAGGTCTACTAAAGCTTATGCTACAAGTTAAGTCTTAAAGGTGCTATAAGATCCCTTTGCTTTCTGTTTGTCTGTTGGCACAAACACTTGGTCAGGTTTTCATTAAACTTGGAGGGAATATTTGTCATGGCCTGATTTAGAATACAGGCTAAAGAGCATAGATGAAATTTACTGGGTGAGGAAATCTGGAAGTTGTTGTTGTTGTGTGCCTTTAAGTCATTTTTGACTTATGGTGACCCTATCACAGGGATTTCTTGGTAAATTCCTTCAGAGGAAGTTTGCTATTGCCATCCTCTGAGGCTGAGAGATTATGAGTTGCCCAAGGCCACCCAGTGGATTTTCAGCCAGGGATTTGAACCCTGTTCTCCAGAGTCCAGCATCAAACCACTACACCACACTGTCACACTGTCTCAATTATTCTTTCATTCATACAGAGTGGCATATTTGGGGGGCAAGTGGGAGAGGCATGATCTCTCAAGGGCAACTGAGAGTAATATGCAGCAAGGAAGAACATTTGAACAATCAAATAGAGATGCACTCCTCCTCCAGAGCAGCTGAAACGCATTAACTATGTACTACAACTAGTAAAATAATAATGGTGGGGCTGTCACAAAATTAAAGTCAGTATTTCCCTTGTCTCCCTCGAGAAATACACTGTGGCCTCACCTGCACTGCAGAAATAATGCAGTTGGAGACTGCTTTAACTGCCATGGCTCAATGCTATGGAATTCTAGAATGTGAGATATTTAGTGTTGTGAGATATTTAGCCTTCTCTACCAGAGAGCTCTGGTGCCCACCAAACTACAAATCTCAGAATTTCATAGCATTGAGCTATTTTAGTTAAAGCTGTCTCAAAGTGCATTATTTCTGCAATGCAGATGCAGCCTCTGTTTTCATGATCGAAATGGCACCAAAATGCAGAGCAGGAAAGGGCTGAATTCCTATCAGGAAAGTGAAGTGGAAGAAAAAGTTTTAGCTCCTCATTCCTTCATTGCTGCAGCCCTGGTCCCAATCCCTGTCAAAGCTGCTACAGTCAACCCTCTGTATCCACAGATTCTTTATCCATAGATTCAGCCATCCACAGTTGAAAATATTGTAAAAATATATAAATCTGAAAAAGCAAGCATTGATTTTGCCATTTTATATACCAGTTTATTGTGCCATTCCATTTAATGGTACTTGAGCAGCCATGGTTTTTGATATCCATGGAGGGTCCTGGAACTAACCACTGTATTATAGTTTCATTTTTAAATAAAGGAGTTCCTGATGTGGCTTCAAGTGTAATGAGGTGGAAGAAAAGTAAACTGTGTTTTGTTCCTCACCACCACTACCACCATAGTTTAGGACTTTCTCCAGGTAGCTATGATTCCTTCCAGGTAGCTATGATTCCTTCAGCAATAAGCATCATATTAGTATCGTTCTTACTTCTGTGTCACAAGATCATAATTTCTACATGACAGCTCTGTAGACCATTTCATGTTTCCAGAAGAGCAAACTGTGCATATGCATATTAGCTTACTGAGTTATGACAAAAGTCATGTGAGTGATACAGTATTCACCTGAAACGCAACTGCCTTGTTGACTCCTGAAACACCAAGATTAGAGCAGGGGATCTGTTATGAACATAAGAGGATTCCGTTATACCATGTGAGACCATCAATCCTCACTTAGTGTTATTTACATAGTGCTGGGCAGTAGCTCTTCAGAGTTTTAGGCAAAGATGCTGTCCACGTCTCTGCTTGAAGGTCTATCAGAGGACAGTTCTCTGCTTGAAAGAGTCCTCTGGGCTATCCAGTCCCTAATCCAGTTTATAATTCAAAGACTATAAGAAAAGAAGCCAAGAACCTTCAATTTGCCCATCCACAATAGTGCCAGCATGGCAGACAGAGTGGGCACATAAGTCACCTGGTCTTTGTCCCTGAGGTGACATGTACTGCCTCTGGATATTAATTTGGAATCCTAGTACGCAGAGCAGAGTCTTTCCCCTAGAAGCGAGTGGCTGGGGAAGTTAGTGTGTGAGAGAGGACTCCCTCATGTATACTTGTTCTTATCTATGACTGGTTTTAAAGATAATAACCAGCGGCCCATTCATACTATAGAATTATAGCACCATTATTTCCTTTTAGCTGCCATGGATTCCATCCTATGGGATCCTGGGTTTTGTAGATTAGAGAGGGGCATTTAGAATTCTTAGCCAGAGTGCTCTGTGTCTCATCAAACGTAACACCCCAGAATTCCATAGATTAGAACCATGGCAGTTAGAGTGGAATGATAGCACTATGGTTCTGTAGTGTGATTGGGCCCCTGGTGACCTGGGTGCCTGCTCTGTCTGTTGTTCAGTGTTCACTGGGGACGAGTGAAGAAATTTTAGCTTCTTATTATGTTGTTTTCGATTTAAACGCAACTTGGAGTGGCCAGGCCATCCAACAGAGGACGTGTTTAAATAGAAAACTGTCAACTGTCCTCTCTACCTCTGTACTTTACAGGGTACTGCCTCTGTAAAGTGTTTGACACATTGTTAATCCAAGTTATATACGCTTTCTGACCAGGCCCCTTCAGTGGGTGCACCAGGTGAAGCTTTTATTTTATTCTGTTCTGAGGATTTGGAGGAACAAAGCTAAAAAGTGGATATGTTTTCTTCGTTTCAGCTATGATGAGTGTGTGGGACCTGAGGCAGCCCAACTTTACATTCCTACAGATGATCCTCCGCCTTACTCCCTGATAGACCCTTGTCGACAGAACGACTTGACAATCAACATCACCTGGGGAGAAGAAGGAGAACCGTCTCCTGGGACAGCTGCAGAAAGGGATGTTGGGTATTTGGTTGGACTTCAGGACCTGCCGCAGCCCATTGCTTCTATTTCCTTGTCATCTTCATTCCCAATGGAGGCCGCCCCTCCGTATGAGACTGTGGTGTGTGAACAGAACACCCCCCTTCCACTAGCACGGCTGGACCTACTGAAAAATTCAACACATTACTATCAGACCTTTTCCAACAGAATAATTTAAAGGGAAACATTTGTCCCTCTATGCTGCTCAAAAACTCCTTCAAGCTGAAGAAAGGGTGATAATGTAGAACAATACTCACTCACCCTTGTTCTTAACAAAACTTTTCTTTTTTCTACTTTTAACAGGGCTAGAATGGGTTGGGGTGTTTTTTTACTGAAAATTTTGATGTTTGCCTACACATGTTTACATTTGTTTTTTATTCCCACCCACCACCACAAATATAAAACAAATAAAAGCAACTTTTAGGACCTCAGTAGCATTTGAAAGCAGACCTGGTTTATAGAATAGTTATACAGTCAGCCCTAGTTGTTGGGTTTGCTAGAGTGCTTTGCATGCCTTAGACCAAAAAGAATGAGATAAAGGGGTCACAAACATCTTGTTAAGAACTATTTGTACAGTAGTAGTAATAAGAGTAATGAGAGTCAGTGTGGTGTACTGGTTTGAGCATTGGGCAATAATAACTCTGGAGACCAGGATTCGATTCCCCCACTTGAGCATAAAAACCCACTTGGTGACCTTGGCAAGTCATACTGTCTCAGAGGATGACAATGGGAAACTTCCTCTGAAGAAACTTGCCAAGAAAACCCTGATAGGTTCATCTTAGAATCGCCCTAAGTAAAAAATGACTTGGAGGTGCACACAACAACAGTAATAATAAATTATTGTGTTGGGAAGAAGTGTGTATTCAGATTTAGATTCTTTAGCTTGCTTTTCCTACCCAAAAGATACATCAGTATTAGTCCAATTTGACAGACATAGGATTGAGTGTTAGCTAGATTGTCACATATGTCCTTAATTGACCTAGGCACTTAACACCATCCCAAACCATAGAGAATGTTGGTGACTTGTGTATGCATAAGCTCTCCTATGGAAGTAGTTGGACATTTTTGTCCAATGAGGAATGGGCAGTTCAAGGTTGTGGAAGCAGAGTTGTGCATGCAATGTCATTGTGCATGGATGTACATTTTTCACAGTTGCATATACAAATACATTTGATTGCACAGTCACTTGCACAAAGCTGCATTTCATTAACACAATGGCTTTCCACACATTGCATAATTCTGTGAGCATAAAGTTATGCTCTGCCTTCTCAGTGTAGAGTCTTGGGTTCCACACACTTATCAAAAATGTATCCTCCAATATGAGGTTTCCAGTGACATTTAATCATAACATGGAAGTTTTACTTTTTTGGAGTAAACTCCCTTTCCCAGCATGCCTAAAGTTATGAGCCAGTGTGGCGTAATGGTTTGAATATTGGACTATGACTCTGAAGACCAGGGTTCGATTCCCCGATGGGCCATGAAACCCACTGGGTGATCTTGGACAGATCACATGCTCTCAGCCTCAGGGGAAGGCAGTGGTAAACCTCTTACTTTAAGGGTGGAAACTAAGACAAACAACAAAAGAAACAGAGTACAGAGACATATATATTGTGTTAGTATGGAATATCAGCATGCAAAGGGATCTTGTAGCACCTTTGAGACAAACAGAAAGAAGCTGGTAGCATGAGCTTTAATGGACTTGAGTCTACTTCCTCAAATCTGTGGAGGGAAGCATGAAAGGTACACTCAGATGAATTAGGAGGAATAAATCCCCAGAAACAGATGGCACACCAAAACAGCTGCTTCAATCTACAGAGAAAGAATCTACTCAAGTTCTACCTAAAATCTGTCAACAAATATGGAAACAATGGCCTACCGATTGGAAACACTCAACATACATTCCAGTCCCCAACAAAGGGGACACAGCACTGTTGCATTAATTTCCCATGCAAGCAAAGGGATGCCCAAAATTCTGCAACAAAATTTTATCATATATGGAATGAGAAATGTCAGATGTCCAAGCTGAGTTCAGGAAGAGAAGAGGCACTAGGGATCATATTACAAACATATGCTGGATAATGGAATGCACAAAAGAATTTCAAAAGAAAATCAGTCTGTGCTTTATAGATTATATCAAAGCCTTTTATTATGTAGGTTATGAAAAACCGGATCATTCTTAAAGAAATGGCTGTGCCATATTTGACTGTCCTGATGCATAACCTATACTCAGGACAAGAGACTACCATCAGGACAGAATACAGAGAAACTAAATGGTTTCCAACTGGAAAGGATCAGGCTAGGCCGCATTTTATTACCCAATCTATTTAACTAGTAGACTGAATATATCATATGTAAAGCAGGATTAGACTTGGAGGAAGGAAAATAGAGGAAAGAACATCAACAATTTAAGATATGCAGATCATACCATACTACTGGCAGAAAATAACAAAGACTTGGAATTATTACCAAAGAAAGTCAAGGAACAAAGTGCATTTACAGCTGAACATGAAGAAAACAAAAATAATAACCACAGATTATTTGCTTAACTATAAACTAGATGATGGAGACATTCAAATAGTTCAAGATTCTCCATACTTTGGCTCAGTTATTAATCAGAATGGAGGCTGCAGTTAAAAAATCAGAAGACTAGGACTTGGAAGGGCAGCAATGAAGGAATGAGATAAGATTCTGAAGTGTAAAGATATATAATTGAATACTTAAGTTAGGATTGCCTGTGCTATTATATTTTCAATTTCTATGTATGGCTGTGAAAGCTGGACAGTGAAGAAAGTTGATAGGAAGAGAATGAACATTTAAAATATGTTGCTGGGTAAGAGTTCTACGAATACCATTGTCAAAAGACAAATGAATGGGCCCTAGAGCACATGACGCCCGAACTCTTATCTAGAAGCCAAGATAACTAAACTGACACTGTTGTATTTTGGCCATATCATGAGAAGACATGACTCAGTAGAAAAGACAATAATGTTTGGTAAAGTAGAAGGCAGTAGGAAAAGAGGAAAACTGCATTCCAAATGTATAGACTCAAGAAAGCCACAGCTTGAGTTTTCAAGACCTGAGCAGTTGATGATAGGGAGTCTTGGAGGTCTCTCATTCATAGGGTCACCATAGATCAAAGTCAACTTGACAGAAGTTAACAACAACAAAAAAGTTCTGCTCTAAAGGACATCCCAAAATAGCCATAACCTTTCTGTATCAGGTGCTTACAAAGAGACACAGATTTCCAGGTTGTGTTCCAGGTAATCTTTTTTCAAAACGTTTACCAGAGGTTCCTCAATAGATGGTGAAAAGCAAGACCTAAGTTGTAGCCTCAGAATTTGGAATAACCTTCTGTTCACCTCTCCCTCTGATAGTGGTTTGTAAACCAGTAAAGACAATGTTGTTTTTCATTGTTCTGGGTATGAATCTTGATTGTTGGCTTCATATCATGTTAGTTATGATTTCTTAAGTTAAACTTAGGATCTTGTTACTACTCTATATTCTCATTTGCTGGAACCTTGGCACTTTGTCCACAACCACAAATGGTCGTGAAACCCACCTTAAAAGCCAGTTAGCCGTCCCAAGCAATGGAGGTCTAGGCTGTTGGGTGAGCCACTGCCAGATGATGGGATCATTCCCCTCCTGCCAGCTCACTTTGGAGAGGGCTGTTCATATCATCTTGCAGCACCCTACTCACCAGCGGCAAAGATCTGCTTTGCTCAGAAAGGCTGACTGGCTTTTAAGATGAGCTTCACAGGTTAGATGAGGTGATGAAGTACAGCCAAGACACCATGGTTACATGTTTGATGCAGGATCTCTGTCCATCTTTTGGATGATTTTTATTTTGGAGTTTTGTTTTTCTGAAATCATATCATTTGTTCACCACTTTGGGAATTCAAATTGAAAAGTGATCTATCAACACAGAGCTTCAAAAAGTTCATTTTCGGACCTGGGACTATGATGGCTGAAGGATTTGGGGGACTTTGATCTAAAAATAACTTGATAATATAACTGGTACTGGTAGCTTCAGGTTGTTCCTTAGACAACCTGATGTCAAGGTAGGAAATTCTGATTCGCATTGCCATGAAGACTAATGCCTCTTCCTTTGCCACATATTACTGGGCCCAATCCACAAGAGAAAGAGTTCAAATGGACGATATCTCACTTTTCCATCTTATTGTTTTTATCATCACTTGCATGAACTAGCAAGAGCCAGTGAACAGGCTAGTGTTGCATTGCTAGTGCATGCAAGTGGTGCTTGCAAAGAAAAGGAACTAACTGCACATTGCACAACATCACTCAGAACCCTTCGCAGATCTTGGCCAAGACATTTTGCTACCCAAGGCCCCTGCTCACCAAGTCAAAGTAAACCTTAAACTAGCCATGTTATTTTGACACATGAGGCAAGAAGTCCCAGTAAGCACCTCTACTGGCATTAAAAATAGAATAGCCAACTGAATGAATGCCTGACAGCTAGTTGTATCTCCCTAGGCATCCAGAATTTCATTCTGCTTAATGGTTGGGTCAGCCCTGATCCTTTGCAATCAGAGGGATTCTTGAGGGAACATGCTTCACGCAGAAAGCTGTGTGGAATAGGTTCTTTGAAAGCAGAAATGTTGAAAACTATTGATATGAGGGACAATGTAGATTACCCAGGACTTCCAGAAAACCCAAATGCTATGAGACTGGAGAGGAGTTTGCTTAGTAACTTCCATATATCTTTTTCTATTGATCCATTCTCCTTCCATGTTTTCTGGATCTTGTAGCAAACTAAAATATATATTTTAGCTGCCTCTATAAAGATAGTGGACTGTTAAACTACATCACCAAAAAATTAAAAGATAAGGATTTTGACTTTTTATAGATTAACAGAAGCATCATGGCATATGCATTCATAATTTGGAATCTACTTCATCATATATGTATAATCAAATTCGCAAAAGTCAGGGATGCGGTGGGGGGGGGATTATAAACATTATGGTCAAATAGCAACAAAATGCAAAAAGTACATCTATGACAATCCTGTGAATCTTGTGATAAGCAAAATGTTACTCCACACTACTATATAAAATGTTAATTCACACTATTATATACATTATAAATATTTTACTATGTTATCATTCCAAAAGGAGAGAAGCAATAAAAATAAGCTGATAGCTTTTATTAGACCACAGTCTCTTGGAGTCAGATATTTATTTTCTTCCAAATGAACATTTCTTTTGTAACAAGAATCGCTGTGTATATGTCTCATCCTAAAACTGGATTCAGCCTTCCAAATGATAACAAACTACACCAAAAAGTGGCCCTAGGTTTTACCCGTACAACAAACAATTTCAAAATATGAAAGCACTTGGTGGAGTTTTATGTGTCTGTATCTGTTAATGATTTCTTTCAGAACAGAGACTTCCATTCATACTGTTTCATGGAAATCCTTCCAATTCAAAATACCCTTCAGTTTGCTTAGTTGCCAGATGTGTCTAGAGAAAGCACCGTTTAACATATCTCTTGAAGGACAAGTGTATAATGACTTCATAAGAAAATGATGATTAAAATCATAAATAACGTTGCTGAAAGTCACATCCAAATTATGAAACACACTTTCAGTTCTCATAAGGAGAGCCGTTTCTAAACAACATTCAATAGACTCCATCCATCTTATAAATGATATGTTGCACCCAAGTAATGATACGGCATTATGATAATATTATAGTGATGTTGATCCCAGCTCAAAATAATCTCAAGTCGTAGTAGAATTTCAAACATAATTAGATGATGAATATAAGCCTGTTTCTTGCAAATATGATCTGGAATGAGACCTGGGCGATAGCCTTGGTGGAATGCCATAGCCAGAGTCGCCTGACTCAGAAAAATCACTGTATCCTAGACTGCCAGAAAGAAGAGTATACACTCGTCCCTCCACATTT